TACTTGGCTCTATCAAGAAACTAAAGTGATTTTGTTTATGTGACAGTAAGCATTTGTTAAAGTGTATCTAATTTAAAGTTTTGTAGTCAAATATTTCGCAGCTAAAGATTGCACCAAATCAACTGCTTTCCACCAAAAAGTGATGAATCAAGCAAAACCCAGAGCACACAGTGTCCTTTAAATACTGCAACAGCAGCCAGGAGTCATCTGTACATGTAAATGCCAACTTTGAGCATCAGTTGAATCAGAGTCGCTGCATTTCCTCCTGCAGGAGCTTGATACATACAGATCCTGTAGCTTGGACAGATTAGTACCACATTATGGCCACTATGTGGAGCTCTTTCTCTATTTTCTCTATTTGATGGTCTTTCCCTTTTAGGTGAAAAGGGAGAGAATCTTTAAATCTAGGAGGGTATCTAAGGGTACATCTTTCACCATCTTACAATGCTGTGATTGCAACCATTCCCCATCTCTCTGTGAATGGGACTCACGGCGATTGAGCAGTGGTCTTTGATTAGTGATTGTTGATAAATGGTCATGAGAATTTGCATATTAATAATGAAGGAACTGACCTCCCAGCCCATTGTTCCTTCAGTGTTGCTAGTTTCAGTCATTATGCAAATGTACTGTTTATTGGGGGAACCTGCAGTCAGCTGAGACTGAAGAAGTCTGTGATGAAACGTTTCTCCCACTGAAAACGCTACGTCCAGAAGAACAGAATCAACTTTTGGGGTATCTGACCTTACATACCCCCTCTATATGCTTTATTCTCATTAGCATTATCAAAATCACATTGTTGTCTGCGGATATCTCAAATAGGAAATTTACCACTTTTTTCCAGTCATGTGTTATTACTTCTTAAGCTAAATTAGTTATCGCCACCACCCTTGCCTGTGGGAGCTCCATCTGGGGCCTCCATCTGTTTTATCCCGACCTTCTTTGCTGAGCCTTTCCTTAACTGTGTTTCTGCCTCCATATTTTCTTCTTCCTTGGATTTTCTCTGTTGTTGCTGTTGCTTTTTTGTTTTTCTACAATTTGTTTCAGCTCTCACACATTTGCAACCATCAGTATAGTAATTTGACTTCTTACAGTCACAATTAAAAAGGTTGACCTAACAAGTATTCAATTTAGGCGTAACATATGTTAAACTATCACCATCTGCTGGCTACTATAATTTTCAAGTCAAGGTTCAAATCCTGAACAAAGAGGAGAGACAGAACAGAGCAGAGGCATATACAGAAAAGAAACATAAATGTAAAGTATGTTAAATCCAGGTTTGATGTTTTTGATTATTATTTGAAAAATAAAACAAAATGTCTCAAGTAATAATCTGTTTGAAAAGCACATCATACACTTTCTGAAAAACAAAGGATACATTGTCCAGATACATGTACTATAGGCTGAGTCGATTTTAATCAGTTTAAATGCCTGTTTCTGTCAAAGTAATTTAATTATGGTGGGGATGTTGTCCTTGTGTCATTGAGATAATGTGTTTAAGAGGAATCATCATGTTGTCCCTGCAGTTCAAAGACTCCCTCTGGCTACAGTCTGTGAGGAGAAAGAGTCAGGAAGTCAGTGAGTGCCTGAAGGACTGCGTCGACACTGCAGGCTGGGGCGTGTTCTAGGATCCACGTGAGGATGGCATAAACAGCATCATAGACTGCATCACTGAGATCACTGCCTAGGTAAATATATGAACCATAATTCCAACAACAAGCCCTGGATCACCACTGACCTGAATACTAAATGAAAGGAGGGTCGTCAACTGCTCATAATTACCTATAATTTCCTTATTGATTCATAAAGTATTCTGATTCTTATAACCCCACCAATCCCATCTTCCTGTCTGAAATCCCTGCTTGTACACGTTTGTGACCACTGGTCAGTTCGGGAGATGGCATGAGCTACTAGCTGATGCAGTGTGCTCGCTGTCACCTGGATGATATTTTGGTGGTATTGTGAGAAAGCAACCAAACTCCATCATGGTGAATCCTTCTCTCCCACTTCATCCCACTCTACTGAGACAACAGAGCTCATTCTCCCTCAGACAGGTGAATACACTGATAATATTCCATTGTGTAGTTTTCTATCCAGGTGTGCTTTTAATGCACTGGGAGTCCATTTGGGAATCCATTTTCTGTCAGGTTCTTTTCAGATGTAATTTCATGGTGGATCTAAAACTGATGGTGCTTTTCTTTGTTCATAACTCCATTAATTTTGACATGATCGCCAACACGACTGACTGATATGCAGCTCGATACCATGACAGAACCTCCACCATGTTTTACAGATGCCAGAAAATTCCACATTGGATTTCTTCTCTCCACAAGACCAAAACGTCCAACTGGAATTCAATATCAAGGATCACAGATGGGGTTTACACACCTGAATGTATATACTGAGGGAGAGGAATGTACTGATTTTATGCATGATTATTTACTTTTAAAGAAAAATGATAACAAAAAGTATTTCAGCAGTGTAACATGTTATAAAAGCAATTACAAAACAAAGTTTCATTTTAAGCAAACAATAAAAAACACAAGCTATAAAGCAAGCACACCAAATGATTTATAATTGGTCAATTTAGAATACAGATCAAACAACACACTTTAGTGATTGAATGCATAAAGAAAGCTGCCACACAAAACCTAAATAAATTGAAAAGTACAACCATCTGAGACACAGGTGTATGATATATGATTTGATATGATGTATAGCTTTCCAAAAGCAGGGAACCCTGACTGTGTAATGCTTTAACAAAGTAATTCTCCAGCTTTCTCTGAAATGTCAGCCAATTATTCCCTACAGTAGTCGCACCACCAGCTCCACAGTTTGAGAAGACTGTTTTAATGTGTAGTGTAAGGACATGTTGTCAAATAGCTCTCACAAATATCCCCTGTGTACGTGTGTAAATGAGAGAAAAGACAAGGCACAGTTTATTCATTAATGCTGACTCTTTCAATAAACAAGTTTAGAGATTTAAAGTTTAGAGTTAAAAAACGCGTACTAGTGTAACTATTGCTATAAAGGATTAAGATGAATTTAGCTAAATGTAACCTACACAATTAAAATACAAACATATCTTCATTTGACACACAAACTTGGCAGCAAATAGTTGATTGGTTAACTAACTGGTCAAAATACTCCATCAGCCTTTTTACGTCTGGGGGTAAAAATTATGGGCCAAAGTTTAAACACACATGCTGTGAAATTTTAGCTTCATATACCGAATACAGTTTTGTGAAAAATGGTCTATCGACCTACTATCAAGCCATTTCTTTTCTTAAACTGGTCAAGGAAAAGTCAGATTAGCAGCTGAGAGTGCATTTTGAAGGTTGACATTGTTTTTCACAGTATTTCACTGCTTTTCTGTAGTGCATGTAATACAGAACTTAAATTTGACCTTAGAAACTGCGCATGTCACATATTCTGTTTTTGCTGACTTTGCCTCCTGTCGTTAGCTTGTATACTCATAATAAAAGTCGGCACAAAACAGATGATCAAAGAGTTTCACTGACATTACTTGAAAAGTTTGTGTGTCAACAGAAGTTAAACATGCCTTTAACCATTTTGGAAAGTGAAGCAGCTTACAGCAAACACTGTAGAGCGAGTCTGGCTCTCTGGAAACAGAGATCCAAGTGATAGCTCCTGGGAAAATACAGGCATCATAAGCTTTGCAGAAATACGCAAGCCAATGTCGAACAGAATTATCAGTTACAGTCAGTTTCCGTCTTTATGATGACACACTTTTCATAACAGTGAAGTAAAAACAGCTTTTTATCAGTCAGCACACTTATTAGACCCGTCTATGTTTTCAATAAGTCAGCTCGGCTGAACGGATGGAGTTAAAGGTCTGAACCAGAACAACAAAAGATAAGAAATTAAGAGAGTGCATTTGCATTTGTGTAACTTAGCATTTGTTACTTAATGCACTATGTAGTCTTGTATTCATATAATATTAAATTTTAAATTTACCATTTTTAGTATTTTATCATTACCTAAAAATGAGTATTTAATCATACTCCCATAAGTTTATAAGAAATCGGTTCATATACTCGGGCTCTCTGTTCAGGTTTCTTATTAACCGTTGATCAGCACATTCATTTAAGTAAATATATGAATAAAGATTACGATTTTTTTTTACTTGCATGTGTAAGTTTTGTTTTATTAGAGCAAAACTTGTACATTCATGGCAAGTACAGACAAGTGCAGGCCTGTTTTATTATAGTTTTATACTGGAGGGGAGTAAGTGTGTGCACCATCATCATGCACAAGAGAAATTTAGCACCATTCACAGTGTGCAGTGAAGCTATTCTCTGTGTGAGTTTTTGTATTGTACTGGTAATTCATTTAGTGTTTCTGATACAAACACTGTGGGTTTTATAAACTGTAGCTTAATGACTCGTGTTATCAGGAGGAGTAAAGAACATCAGCCAGAGCTTCAATGCAGACACACCTGCTGCAGCTGTGCTAGCACACTGACTGGATACTGTCATGGTGCTTTTATAGGCACAAACAAAAAAGGAAAACATGTAATTCCATATGAATGGTTGATGTGTCCACAATTGGCCAGTATTGTACATTATAACCTTAAATACTTCTATTGTTACCCTTAGGGAAGGGTGTTACTGAAGGCAGGTGGATTTTTCATTCATGAATTTACAGTAACCACATTACTATAGCTGTCAACAGCTTTCACTGATGATGAAAGCTTTTGACAAGTTGGTGGAAACACAAGAACAGATGGCAAATATAGTTAAAGCTTTTCATGACAATAGAGGAACAGGCAGTTAAAACCACATCCTAACAGTTGTTCCAGTTATATGTGAAGTTGTTTCACAACATGGCCTTAAAGACTAAGCTAACTCTAGAATAATATGTTGGTAGAAACTTCAGTTGAGATATTTTCCATCTTTGGCAGTTCTCAGAGCAGAAAAGTCAGTCTCACTATTCTATTTTTGTCTGTTTTCTTTTGCATATAGTTTAAAGATTATTATTTTGCTTTTCTCAATTTCATCAGTTTTGTAAAATAAATATTAAAATCCTTCGGATTTCACTTTTGTTTCTGAAATATGTGTACACTACATTAGGCCTACATTTTTGCAATACTTCTAAAGTCATTTAAGGTTTTGAGGGAAAAAAAACTAAACAATTTGATGACTACGTCTTTAAAGGGTGGTGAAAGGTTTCTATTCATTCATCACAGAGATAAAGTGACTGACTGACTATTTGTTTTTTGAACAATGTAAGAAAGGTTTTGATTGTAGTAGTTCCTTTTGCACAAGAGACTCTGTTATGAAAAATGCTCTGTTTTGAGAATTGCATGACGAGTGGTTTGAATGACTTTTCTGCTGTGAGAATTGCACAGAAGCAATTGAGAAAAACTGTAAGTTAAGTCATTAGCACCAAAATATTGAGAGACATATTAATTAATTTATATTTAACATAATTAATTTTGACTTTAACATCTCTACAAATTAACCGTTGGTGACCTCGCTCACTTCCTGCAGTTGTTCTTGCTCTCGTCTTTGATCATCTCCTGCACTCCTGGGAGATGGTGGGTCTCTAGGCCCATCACTATGTGATGGAAAACACCTAACGCCAGAGAAAAATAAGACAGTATGCATGGCTTACAGTTAAGCCTGGAAATTTTGCGGCATTAAAAAATGAAACAAAGATGAAATGTCAGACAAAGCAGAACACGAGGAGCTTATCCCGAGAAGTGGATCATCATCCACTGGCTGGAACTACTTTGTATTTGGGACAAATGACATTAACTAAGATCAAATTATAAACACATGCTGTAGAGTTGTGTTGGCACCATACAGCAACACAACTAACTGAACCACCTGAAAACTTGCCACAAACTAAGATGAATGTACGAAAGCCAAGAAAACCTAAATCATAACTCAATATCAATAAAAGCAAACCTGTACAGTCTGTCAATGTGTCCCAGTGAATGAACACTTTGTCTGCAAATACATTTTAATTTGAGGATTATAGT